CATGTTTAATATATTTCGACTATAAATTTAATTTGAATAGTTTCAGCCATGAAGCTACTAACACACTGAGATTAACTTCTTAAAAGAAAACATGTTTGTTCATATCTTACTTTACAAAAGTGCAAAATGAAACTTGGTTCATACTTTACATTAAGATTAATTTGAGAATAAATAAATCAAATGGATAACAAGGGTATGAATAAGAAGAATGATCTTCTCGAATCGAGTGACTGGTATTAATAACCTTCCTTATTTGTAAGTAGCCTAATGAAATATTAAAAATCTTCAGTATATAAGAATGACTTTTATGATAGAAAAAACCAACATAAAAACTCCGTTTTAACTTATTTTAACTATTGTTTGTATCATATGCTCACTAGTAACTAGCTTCAGGATGTAGATTCATGAATCTTAGTAAGACACCATAAATTGTTTAGTTGAAGTTTTACGAGTGTGAAACAGTTATCCACTTTAAACAATGGACGAGGGTTGCGAAATATCATGAATTGATTGAAGTTAGACATTGACACAGTTGGATCCTGGGTCACTGGTTCATATTGTAGGCGTTTACTTGAGATCGGAGGTACTGAGGAATCGCGTTCCAGGATGAAACAGCCTTATGGTGCTTCTGTGTTTTTAATGGTGATCTAATTAAGATTAGATCGTGATTTAAACTAACAATTTTATCATCTTTACAAATTCTTCTACAATACTATTAAATGCTTTTTTCAAAAAGGCAAGTGGTAAACCAGTAAATACTTACTATAAGTAGTTTTTTCCTATCTATAAGCAAAATATATATTAGAAATGTTACCTATAATTATTGTCTAAGTTGTACACAGCTCTTATGAATACTTTCTGACATAATACAAATAAAACCAGATAGTGGAACTTGTAAGTATTTATGCTACTTATGAGGATTCAACAAGATTGGTTATTTACCAGTTATTAATTTTGAAATAAAAGATTTTATGTCAACCTTGAAATGATCCAACTACTTATGTAACATTAAATTTTTCAACAAAATACAACAATTTACCATGCTTTATAGATCTATATTATATTACAAAAGGTAAACAACTATTTAGATATATTTTCACTTTGATACTTTTCCTTAGTGTTTGTTCATTCGTTTAGACAGGACAAACATAGAAATTTAAAGTCTCTAGTCTCTCTTACTGAAATAGATATTCTTTAAGCTGCATTTCAATGAAGATATAGCTGATAGTGTATTACGTGATAGACTGACTAGAGCAGTAAAGAGAACGTTTAATGCAGCCGACCTCTGTCTGTTGTACTCGACCAGATCTATGGTGATTTCCCAACTAAAGGATAGGTTACCTGGTTGTGCCACTTCTATGTGTATCAACGAATTCAGCTGCTTCTGTGAAGAAAGCTATACTGGGCGTAGTACCAGACAACTGAACCAAACATTTAGTGAACACCTCCCTTCGTGGTTAGGAAAACGTACTGTCAAGACGATACACAGCTCGGCTTTATCACACTTGATCGATGTATTGTTAACTTCTGATAGTTAACAGTATTTTTTCAGGAAGGGTTAATCATAAAAATCAGTAAACTAATTACATTTACAGGTTATGGAGGTTTAATCTTATGATAATTTGGAGTGTATACGTATATCCATTTATTGGTCAGTTAATGGCCTTTACTACCTAGTTCGATTTATGCAAATATAATTATTAAATCATATTGGTAAAACATATAAAACTCAGTATATTCAATGATAACTTGAGTCTATGAGATGGTGGAGAAGATTTGTAGCTAAGGTGGGTGATTTTGATAGAGTTTTGTTCTCTCAGCTGGGTGGCTTGATCGTAGAAATGAACGACAAAATCAGCACAAACTTCAGGTAGCTCAGGGAACAAAACTCCATCAAAAACTCGAATCTATTTTTGCTACATTTTCTAAGTCTTAATTTGTCATCATTCCCTTGCATTTACGCATATCAATTTTTTGTTCAATTAGTAAATTACTAAAATCCAGATAACAGTCTATTACATTTTCAAATTCCTCAGTAGCATACACTCGGAACACTGTCAAAGGGTCGATTCTAAAAACTTCAGACCTCAAAGTTCGATAACTTTAGACCACTGAGTTTGTAACTCAAAAATATGGAGTATAGTCAACTCAGAGTTGAATGCAACATCTATTCGATGCTATATAAATATCAATAATGTCTTAAATAAAGTTGAGTTGAAATGTCAGTGACTGTATTCTGATTAAATGGTCTAATTAAATTAATGTTCACAGTAAAAGCTGAAGATCTCAGATTTTAATCTTCATTAGTGAGGAGTCACAATCTACAACAGAACAGCTATCTATTTCCCACAAGTTCCCCAGTAAATAGTTATTTAATACTATCGAACTACCTAATTTGTTTTGTAGGAGAATAACGAAATACAAACTAAAATACATAGATATCATTTAATAATAGTGAATGTCTAGTCAGAAAGTTATTTAATTAACAATCAACACCAAATTCTAGTTAATAAAATCATTATTTAATCAACAATATAATTGTCCAATATTTAGTTTAACAATTGTCAAATAGTTAATATTTACTTAATTAAAGCCAGGACGAACATGGATGGAGAATAATATGAATTCACTATGTTACGTTGTTTCTCACCAGGTGCTTACAACCGAATATGTATTCTAATTTTACATTGAGGTAAAATATAGTGTGAAACAATTGACATAATTGAATGTAAAGAATTGGAATGACAAAAGTTATCAATAATAACTATATATATATATATATATATATATATATATATATATATATATATATATATATATATATATATATATATATATATATATATATATATATATATATATATGCAAGAGCAGGTCGGAGGTCATTTGAAGTTAGAATCAAGAAACATGAGGGGTGGGTGATCTAATAACTGATTGAAGTTCAGAGACAGATAAAATTAATTGAATGATAATTTTACAGGTAATGAAAGGTTTCTACAAGATTCCTGGAATTTAAAAAAAACTGGTAAGATGGATTGCGTAATAATTAAGCAAGATTTGATGAGAATAGTAGGTCCCGGGTTCGAATCCTGCGAGCGGGATCGTGGATGCGCACTGCTGAGGAGTCCCACAATAGGACTAAACGGCCGTCCAGTGCTTCCAGATTTTCCATGGTGGTCTAGCTTCAACTGACTCATGATCTCAACTATTGAAATTAATTTAAAAGAAGTGAGTGAGTGGAAATGTATGAGTGAAGAGGGGAGTGTGTAGTTTAAATATAATGAATTCATATTATTCTGTATCCATATTCGTTCTGGCTTTATTTAAATTCATATAGGGGACTAATTGTATGAAATATTTACTTAATCTAAAATGATTATTTAAAATTCAACAAATATTTTACATTCTACACAAAACTGCTACAATCTCCACAAAACCGCCTTTCTATATAAATCATTTCCATCTAACAAAAAAACCCATCAATAATGAAACCAGTGAATAACTAGGAAAAAGTGTTTAGATATTGAATCCCTTGACAGTTTTGATTTTATGAAGTGGACGTTACATTTTTTAAACTGGATTAAAAACTAGTATTCAGAAATGTTTTTTCATTCACATATATTCAACATTCATTTTCTTTATCCAACTAAAATTCCTCGTATAAATTATAGCATCCTTTAAAAAGTAAGGTAATAACAGATATTCACTTTTTTACCAATTTCCATTAAACCAAATACTCTGAATTGCACACTAGACACACAGATTCTGGGTTCTAATCCTACGAGGTAGGATCGTAGATATGCACCGTTGAGGAATCCCACAATAAGACGAGACAATCGTCCAATGCTTCTAGGTTTTCCATAATGGTCTAGTTTCAATGAACTCATAATCTCAACTATTAAAATATTGAACAGTTAAAAAGTTTTCATATATATATATATATATATATATATATATATATATATATATAACAATTAAATGATAAATATAGGAAACAATAAAACTTACAATTACTATACGATTGTATTTACCCAAGAAAGTTGAATTCAATAAGCAACAAAAATAATTGCGAAATTATTTTTCACTTTTAATATAAACATTAAAATGTAAAAGATACAATTTGATAGAAAGGAAAATCATTGTAAATCATTGATTAATTGAGAAGTTTTAATGTATCATCTTAATTAAGAAGAAAAAAATCAATTATCAATGTACTACTGATAACTGATTGTTTTCCTTTCAAATATGGTGAAACAAAAATGTTCAATAACCTTGAAAAGATATCAAGGTTATTGTATACACAGATGGTGTATATAGTTGTTACAAAATTTCCCCGCTATATACGGATTTTATCATTTCTATGACCTTGAAATATGTTTGTATAATCCAATCAAGTTTTATTATATGTTCACTTGTTCCTGTAATAAAATTTTTTTTAATTATTTATTTAAAAATATCAGTATACAAATCAATGATCCGTTTCATATTTTATCATTTGTCTGTATTGAAAATAAATAAGAAAATGAGTTAGATAATTTCTATGGAGTAAATATATATAGCTCTAACTGATAAATAAATATTTTAAAAGAAAAGAACTATTACTGCGCTGCACTTTCAATGTACAGTTTATGTTCAATGACAAGATTTTTAGACAGAAGGACGGTATAGCAATGGGATCCCCTCTGGGTCCGTTACTTGCAGATTATTTCATGGTTAGTTTAGAAAACAATCAACTGAAAGCGATTATAGAAAAACTTCACTTGTATAAAAGATACGTAGATGACATCTTTATCGTTTGTGACAACAAATATGACTTAATAGTATAGGGGTTGTGGAGATTATTAAGTTTTTGATTGAGATCATGAACCGATTGATGTTAGACCACCACAATTGAGAACCTGGAAGCACTGGACGGCCGTTTCGTCCTATTGTGGGACTCCTCATCAGTGCGCATCCACGATCCCGCCCGCGGGGTTCGAACCCAGGGTCTTCGGTCTCGCTTAACCAACTGGACCACAGAGCCGGCATCCAGTGGTGATAGTTTCGGTTTCGGTTCATGATCTCAATCAAAAACTTAATAATCTCCACAACCCCTATACTAGTAATCAACATGTGCTCACTAGTGACTAGCTTCGTGAGGGAATTCTCGGAGTTCTAGTGAGAAGCCGTGACCAGTGGAGCTAATCCTTGTCGGGTAGAGACAGGTATCTACCTCAGTACAACGGAAGTTGGTCGCGCAATTTCGTGGATTGGTTGATGTTAGAAATTATCACCACTGGATGCCGGCTCAGTGGTCCAGTTGGTTAAGCGTTCATACGCGAGGCCAAAGGCCCTGGGTTCGAGTCCTGCGAGCGGGATCGTGGGTGCGCACTGGTGAGGAGTCGCACAATAGGACGAAACGGCCGTCCGGTGCTTCCAGGTTTTCAATTTTGGTGGTCTAACATCAATCGGTTCATGATTTCAATAAAAAAATATGACAAGTTATCTTCTAAGGACATTTAGTAATTTCAACCCAACAGTAAAATTCACATTAGAAGTTGAAAACAAACAAAATATTCACTTTCTTGATGTGGAAATGACAAGAAAACAAGACGGTACTTTATAAAGATCTATCTACAGGAAGAACATGTGGAATGGTCAACTATCAAATTTCCACAGCTGGGTTCCCATCAGCCGAAAAAGAAACCTAATAATAACACTCGCTACAAGAATACGAAGAATCTGTAGCCCCGAGATCGTAGACGAAGAATTGAGCCTTTTAAAGGAGATGCTTATCAAAAACGGGTATCCTTCGATATTCATTGATAATAATATGAAGCCAAAAACACAAATAATTACAGTAGAATAGAAAACTTTATACATGAACATCGACTCCAAAGGTGACAGAGCCACATATATCTTAAAGAGGAGAATTTCTGATTCCTTAAAAAGAACATTCTTCACAGCAACATTGCGAATATTATTCTCCAGCCGATCATTGTTCATCAATAATCTGAAAGATAAATTATCACATCTGACCAACTCAATGTGCATTTACCAATTTACCTGCTCTTGTGGAGCTAGGTATATAGGTCGTTCGATGCGTACTTTATCCTAAAGAATTCAAGAACATTGTCCGGTGTGGCTAAAAAGAGGAGGTAACGCCTCAATGAGAAGTTCTATAATCTAACACAGGTTATTCAATCAAGACAGACTCTGTTCAAAGTCATCTACAAGGTAAGTAGAAGTCTTCCGAAGATAATTAGACTGCATCTTCTTTGCATTTCCGAAGCATTAGCCATACATCTGGAAAAACCAGAATTGTGTGTGCAAAAGAGACTGGTACAATCTCTACTTTTACCGTGGTCTTAATGTATTAACATTTTTCTGCTCTCTTTTTCATACTCTTGTTCCTTTACAGCCATCTGCTTCACCTTCCATCTTCCTTTAAATCTTCTACCCCCAACTGGTTTGTTTTTATTTCCACGACCATTCCGATTACATTTCATCTCTATTTCAACATTTTATTTTATTATTCTGAGCCATCCTTTCCCAATAATAATTTCCTTATCTATCTTTTGATGAATACTTAAGCCAATAACAATCAAACGATTATTAAACTTTGTTTTTAAAATTTTTTATTTTAATATCTTTCTTTGTTTAACCTCACTGTCACCATGTCTAACAGAAGTTTATTATCAGTATTATTATCATCCTGTAAAAATAAGTATATATATTTGCGGTTGGACAGCTTTGAAAATGAATTCGCTGAAAAGAGAACTCTTCGCTGAACTAATCTTTCTTATTTAATGTCTTAATGGGTGTATTCCGTTTATTCAAAAAATCTTTACTTTTAACATTCATTCATTCAAACTACTAGATAAATCTGAAAAATACCCCGCGTGATCTACTTGAATATTTGAGCTACCTATTCCTGACATTTAGATATTTCAACAAATTGTTTTTCTCTATTTCATTATTTATCTTAACACATTATTATTCATAATTGATTGATCACTGGATGGTGATCAATATCATTTATGTCAAGTCCTTCTTAGTGTAGATTGAATGCTATCGACCAAGTTACAATGTGGTCACCAGTCTAGGTGATTCGACATTGCGTGAACTATGTTGAGATAGAATGGTGGTTGGAGGTAGTCAACTGGAAAACCTGGACACAGGTTTCTTGCTATTTGACACTCGTCAGCAAGGTGTACCCGTAGACTTGAGGGAACTAGTGCTCCCTCCAACCACCATCTAATCTCAACATAGTGTACGCAATGTCAAGTCACTTAGACTAGTAGCCACATTGCAACTTGGTCGATAGCATTCAGTCTACACTAAGGAGGACTTGACACACATGATTTTGATAGCCACCCAGTGATCAATCAATTGTGAATACATCTCAGTCCTACAGGAAGTCGGTCGCGGCCCGAATAGTCCAGTTGCAACGTATCTGACTGTGAAGCTGGGTAACATGGGATCGAGTCCGTCAGGGAACACCAGTCCCCTCCGTATTACAGGTACAGCTTGCTGACGAGTGCCGAATAGCACGAAACGCGGCTCAAGAGTTTTCTGTTGACTACCTCCAACCACCATTCTAACACATCATTATGCCTATTAGTCGCATAACCTTGTGGTGGTCGGTATCCGATATAATCCTTAACTTCGTATACAGTTCGTCTTGCTAACCGTTCTATATAACGTCCCAACGGTATATTAATCAGAAGGCAAATACGAAGTGTTGATTACGTTTATTGCGAGACCACACACATATATCCAAAATTACCGATGCATTAACGAGCATTAAGAGTTGTGCCGAACAGCAAACAGGCAAGCGAGCGACTGAGTGAATATAAGTAATCGAGTACAATCAAACGAGCGAGAAAGCAGAGTCAGCCATATGAATAACATGGACATATATATAGCATGTGAAATTAATGAGTAATCGAATCAAACAAGCGGTTAGTAGTAAGACTAGCGGAGTGAATAAATGCGTAGGCCGTAAGCAATATTCAAGCATGCATATTTCATACAAGCACAAAATAATAATAAGGGTACAATAAATTGTTATAGTGCGGATGACTTTGTCCGCTAAATAAGTTAGCAAAAAGGGCTTAACTGAGTTAAATGAGAATAAACCCATTTGCACGTGAGTCGCTATAACCTATTCAAGTGCGTTTATGAAATGTTTACGACCTTTCATTTTACAAGTTACAAAAATTTACAATTGGTCATAGCGTGATGGCTGGCAATGTTCATTGAATCAATGAATAAATGTCAACTTCTGAAATGCTAATATCTACCTGATCACTCAGTATTTACCGTCAGTATCGATCAAGAAATAAGAAACAGAAACTATTTCATTTAGTGAAAATTCCCATTTTGATAATAGGTAAATAAGAAAAGAACGAATCGAGCGAAGGAATTTCCTTCCAATTAGTTTTTTTAATTATAGCCCTACATTAATATATATATATGGTTAACAATGATCAAATAATACTCATCGAGTAAATAAGTTACGTGATAATTATATAATGACATATCGATTGTAAATTGACATTGAGTAATAATAATCAAAGTGCGAGCGCTTAACCACTAGACCACTGAGCCGGCATCCAACGGTGTTATTGTTTAACTTCAACTAATCCACAAAATTGAGCGACACACTCACCATTGTCATCAGTGAATTACTATCTCACAACTGGCCCGGTTGAACTCCACTGGTCACTGCCTCTCACTAGAACACCAGGATATACATCTTGAAGCCAGTCACTAGTGAGCATATGTTGATTAGTATCAGAAGCGGTTTTATGGAGATTGCAGTAGTTTTAATAGTTGAGATCATAAGTCAATTGAAGCTAGACCATCATGGAAAATCTCGAAGCAGTGGACGGCTGTTTCTTCCCATTGTGGGATTCCTCGGCAGTGAGCATCCACGATCCCGCTCGCGGGATTCAAACCCACAACCTATCAGTCTCCCGCGCAAGCGCTTAATCACTAGACCACTGAGATAGTAACTCACAGATGACAAATGTGGATGTGTCGCTCAATTTCGTGGATTAGTTGAAGTTAGACATTAACACCGCTGGATGCCGGCTCAATAATCAAAGTAATTATTCGAAAATCAAGTAGTTGCTACGTTTACATTCATCAAAATATTGTGCTAGTTCCATCTCTTTTTTATATATTATACAACATAGCAACTACTTGATAAAGTTATACAATAGAAAGGAATTTCGAATACAGATTATCTAATATAGATCATTGGAATTTATTCAATCACTTATACGTTTATGTAAATCAATATACCATAGAAGTTAACTTCTCAAAGTAAATCATATTGAGTAATGGTGTATCGTGACAGTTAACCTTAAAACAAAATGAAAAGTTGTTTAGTTTTGTTTTGAAACCAACTCATTAGATTTAGTATTGAATTGAAATAATCAATTATGACCTCCTGAACACATATACAGGTTTTACTATTACTTTCTATAGTGTAATAAGAAGACGAAGATTATCAGAGCTATGTGATATAGATTAGCTTGATACCTTTCGAACAGTCTGATCTCACACATTATATACTTGTCAAGAACATTTATATCTGAAGAATAAAAGGTCAAATAGATGAGAAATGGGGAGAGTAGGAGGAGAAAAAGTAATAAAGAAAATAATGTGAAAACAATTTGAAACCTCATCACTCTGGATAATAAGCTAATATTACCAGGGTAGGTCTAAGATAAGAGCAAACTGTTCTTAAATAAACAAAGGGGGTTTGAATTTTCGTATAGCTAAAGATTCAATAAACCTTAGTATATACGCCCTTTTATACTTTTGTACAATACTACAAAAGCCGAGTTAAGATCAATCTTATGACCTGTTTCAATTATATGTTTGATAACAGAGGATGATGGATGTTTATCCTCTACTCTTATTGAGTCATTTGATTCTGCAACCATTTATGTAAATCCTCACAAACCCTAATTTGAAATCACGATTACTACTACTATTTTGACTTTCAAAGTTAAAATTACTTTTGATCAGTAATTATCTAACACTGTGTTCAATTGTTTTCAAATTGTGTAATTTCACTCATGGATACTAAATGAAATAATCAACCTATATAAAACATTTGACAGTAGTGAACAGAAAATTGTTATAGCTTGGTGCCAAACACCATGAATGATGATTTATTATACATGAAACATAAACACTAACTATGTCTGAATGCACTGAGTTTTATGTTCTTTATCCATACTGACAAGTAGTCAAATTTGAATAAAGCGAACTGCGTAGTACTAGATATTAATTAGTTAATAGTTAAGTATATGTTTACAACTTAAAATATTCCAAGAATAAAGTCCAGTAATCTATAAATGTAATCAACTTGCTGAATTCCATGATTATTTCAGCTTAATAATACTCACAACTAATATAATTCAAATACAAACAGAAAACTTGTCTAGTAATAAATCGAGTTCTTTTGTTCTTCTAAACATGGTACATTTTCAGTTGGTTGCTTTAAATCAAATGAAACTGTTGTATATCAGTTGGTTGGAGGTGTTTATCAGATAACTCTGGATCTAGGCTCAATATTTGTCATCAGGAGGGATCTGATGCTTCCTGGTAGATTCAACCATAGTCCAGAGTTTCATAGTCTGAGACGCCCCCTTTGAAATATTTGAACGTCCTGTTGGCTGAGGGTGGAACTATTCGCTAAAGTGAACCAACTAGTCCATAACATGGGTTCAAGGTTTCTTACCGACTATCTCCAACAACTTAATATCAAACATAATTCATGTGTTATTGAGTCATTAAGACCAATCAGTCAATCAGTGTAAGTTTCACATATATAAATAGGGTCTACACTATTGCAATCCGAACAAAAAATTGATATCTCTACTAGTCAATCTGCTTTAGGCCTATATAAAGTCTTGATACATTACCGCCCTTAAGACTTAATAAGATAACTTCATTTAACAGTGAATGTTTCCCCCGTATATAACAGAGTTTTTCCTAAAGGTTTTACTTGTATACCCAATTCTAGTCCTTTTGGACAATTGAAGAACAACTTATGAAACACATCTTTGAATGAAAATAGTTACACAAAGGTTGTATTACTGAGTTATAGAGTTGATATTACATATGACATTAATGAGTTTGACTGTCGTGTAAGCGGAATAGGTCAACTTCGGCCTGTTCGTGCTGTGCATAATGGATTCACGCGATCATTGATCGGAATAACTATACATGTGATGTGAATGTGTATATGAATGGTGCGAATGGTCCATCAGGGTGCTTGGTACCTGTGTGGTTGCGCCACAGGATTGAGCTGTACTATTCAGATTGTAGCGTTAAAGCCTATAAGGTGTCTGGTTCTTCTGTGAAGTGGGATTGAGCTGTACTGTTTGGGTTGTCACGTGAAAGTCTGGATGGTGTCTGGTTCTCCTGAAAACCAATGTAAAATTACCCTGGCCCACAAGGGTATATTATAAAACTATGACATTCTATAAAGCAAAATATAACTGTGAAGAAAGGATATTTTTCAGTACTATATTCATACTATTAATTATTACTAAGTAGTAAAACTTAGAAAACCAATATTTTGTGTCTGTTGGCTTTAAAAGAAGTCATAATATCTACATTAAAATTTACCTAAAGACATTTTTCTACTCTGATAGTGGCGTGCTTACCAGTTAGAATAAGAATTAATATTTCAAACCCGATCATTATTTAAGATACAGATTGACATCAATAATCCCCGTTACATAAATTCATACTATGTATAAATATTAAGATTAAACTGATTTAATAAATAACGAAACCAGTCATACCTAAGTATCTAATTGAAAGATTTTCTTATCTACTATATTTGAATGTCGCAATTATTATGTACTTATTGAAATAAACTATGAAAATTGATTAAAGAAAAATTAGATATATAATATAATCAAAAACGTCTTCACTAAAATTGTCTATCATTCAAATAGACTGACCTTTATTGTAATTAATTCAAATTATGAACACAAAACTAGACTAGAAAAGTGTAATAAAACAGAATGATTATATTTCTTAACAAGATTCTAGTACTCTGGTAATCATATGGTGTAAAAAGTAACTAGTTAAGAGACTAGTCTAAACTGTGATATATATATACATTCTTTGTATATGTTGTGACGTTGATTTTCATCATTCAAATCAAATATGGAATATAACTCCATATTTATAAATAGTCAGAATAGTTTCTCACATAAAATACAAATATTGACCAACAAATTGTTTAAATAACTTATATGTATATCATTTATGGAACACAAATAATAGTTCACTTGATATTGTTTGGCTTGTATCTTCCCATTGAGGTTTAAGACTGCAATTGATCAGTCTGTTATTGGCATATGTGTATACTGTGCGTATGCCTCGATATTGCCTTAATTCACAAACTTTTGGTAAGCAATGATGGATAGTGGCTAGCAGTGGAATCCAGTTTGACGCGCGTTTCGTCCTATTTGGGACTCGTCATCTGGATGTACCTCCATCATAGAGTTGATGTTCACTCCGGGACTGAATAACAATGGGGAGATACAAGTAAAACAACACCAAGTGAACTGGAAGACTTTTATTTTTATAGTTATGTCAACTCTGAGATGCAGGTACATCCAGCTGACGAGTCCCAAATAGGACGAAACGCGCGTCAAACTGGATTCCACTGCTAGCCACTATCCATCATTGCTTACAAATAATAATTTGTTCGAGAATTGATATATAAATGAGTCCCAAGTAATATTAAATGACGTAACAGGAGATGAAACTGTATCAATTCTAAATTGGGGGCGGTTAGTCTGAAAGTGCAGACTAAACTCGATTGTATAAAAAATGTAAGCCGATTACACTTATATAGTTAAATATGACATTTGATTAGAAGATGAAGTTATTTTCCTTAATATTATGAAACTCAAGTGGAATTTTTTAGTTTCTTCAGATAATTAAAATAACCCCCTGATTATTATGTGATCTCATTTGATAATTGGGATCTCGAATCACTTTAGAATCTTTCCATAGACCTGTTAATATATTACGAGATAATATTTCCAATCACAGACACTGACTTATACGACTAGACCAATGACTCCTTAACATATACGAGAAGCCCAGAGTTCTTATTGGTCCTTTGAGATAGTAGCTTATCGTCTGACACTAAATGAATACTAAACAACAATATCTGCTTCATTTTCTACTCTAGACTTCTTTCTTGAATTTTCATTTCTGAAATTTATGAATCTTTGATACGTAGATATCACAGTTTTAACTTACATTTTATAATAATAAGACAGTATTATCAAAGAAACTAAATATATTACACTAGTCGATTAATGATATCATTACATTTTGGCTATGATCACAATACTTTACTTGAGACTCCTATGATTACAAGCGATTTAGAAATCTTTTTTTATTTTCTTATATAACCCGTTGATAATAGGTAATCAATCATTGGAAATTGGTATAACCTTACTTCAATTAATGCCATTTTATTTGTGACAACTGGGTAAATTATCTTCGAAATTGTGGTTTTTAAACTCAGCAATTCAAATAAAAATGGGTTGCTGAATAGGTCACAGGATGTATGGATCTATAACGAAAAGTCACTTGAAAGTAAGTATTTCTCCGCATAACTTGCTTTTCATTGAAATATTTTAGTGGGATTTTTTACTGCACTAAAATCTTCTGAGGAAAGATTTTGTGTTATAAGTTTTAATAAGTATCTAAAGTATTCATTTATGTTAAAAGTAATTACTTACTTACTTACTCACGCCTGTTACCCTTCATGGAGGACCATAGGCCGCCCACAAGCACTCCCCAACTAGCTCTGCCCTGAGCAATCTTTTCCACTTGTTTCCAATTGCTATTCATTTTTCTGATGTCTGTTTCCAATTCTCGACGCAGTGTGTTATTCGACCATCCACTTTGCCATTTCTCTTCAGGACAGCGCTTGCCTCGTGATGCAGCGTGGTGATTTCCGTAATGTATTTCCTATCCACTTCCGAAATCTTTTCCTAATTTCCTCTTCATCTTGAAGCTGGTTTGTCCTCTACCACAGTAGGCTGTTGCTGATGGTATCCGGCCGATGGACATTCAGTATCTTGCGTAGACAACTATATATAAATACTGGTACCTTCTTGATGATAGTTGTAGTAGTTTACCACATTTCAACTCTGTACAGTAGGACTGTCTTGAAGTTCGTATTGAAGATCCTAACCTTGATATTGGTTGACAGTTGTTTTGAGTTCCATATGTTCTTCAATTGTAGGAATGCTACCCTTGGCTTGTCAATCCTTACCTTTACGTCTACATCAAATCCTCCTTGTTTATCGATTATGCTTCCCAGGTACGTGAAAGATTCCACATCTTCCAGTTATATTATAACCAGTTTGTTAATTGAGATAACCAGTCCATATCCATTCAAATATATTTTTATCTACATTAAAATATATTGCTAAATAATATTTAACCTCTACAGTAGCAAAACGTGTTCTCTAGATAGCATCTTAGTTACTCTAAGATCTGAATAATTTTTTATGGTTGGCGTTTTTTTAGCGAGTTAGTTTTCTACGGGTTGGGGTCACTAACCCCATCCCCAACCCTCCTCCTTTATCCGGCCTTGGGATTGGCAGTAGCCCCCGGAGGGACTCCAGATGGAGTTAGTTACTCTAAGACTATACATCAAATTATATATTCCATACACTAAAGTCTAAAACATCATTTGAGATTATTTGGTATATGAAACATAAATGTTCAAGCAAAAACTTAAATAATACTCCGTGAAAATTGTCTCTTCAAAAAATATACTTATTGATTGGTTGGTTGATAAACACTTAACTAAAGTGACCAAATAGATGGGTAATCATGAAGTAATATGTCACATTCAAAACAAATTCATGCGAAATGTATAATTTCTAAAAATTTTAACTTTAATCAACCAGAGTAATCATTTCTGAAATGATCATTTTAATATTTTGAAACCGTAAGCGTCAAGTTGAATACGGTGTATGAGAACTCACTTCCTTAGCTAGGAATTCTTAAATATCCCTTGAAATTTTCAATAAATACACATACAAATAATACTGTCTTATCGTTGGCTGGAGCTTCAGCAAAACTTGTTTTATGATTGCCTTCTCAGTGATTAGGAGTTAGATTAGAGAGAGTTATTTACAAGAATAGTATATACGTCTATTATGAATGTTTCGTTTTATTGAGTGAGGCTTTTTGGACTGTGTAGCCTATTTACTATATAACTCAATAGGATATGAAAAGAAATAATTAACAAATTTGTACTAACTAAACATTATTTATATACAAAAAATCCCTAAACAAACTAAAACAGATACAAATTATAAGCAAAGATAGGTAGTGGCTAGCAGTGGAATCTCGGACACTCGTTTCATCCTATAATGCTTGTGAACTAAGGTAATATAGATGCAATACGCACAGTATGCACATATGCCAACAAGAGACTGATCAATTGCAGTGCTAAACATCAATGGGAAGACTCAAGTACACAATACCAAGTGAATTACAGATACAAATTATTTATTGAATAGGAAATAATTATGAAAAATTTAAAAGGTCAATTAAAGAAATCTAAAATGCTGAACATTTGACCTTATCATATGTTATGATGATTTTGTTTGCTATACGATAAGTCTGTATATAGGCTTTATTATTGTTCACTAGGGTTATTTTAATGACAAAACACGTAAACGTCACATGAGAGAAACTTTACTACATACTCTCTTTAGATACCCACAAGATAAAAATCATCTTTAAGAGTTGCGTAGTAAACTATATATATATCGGTCTAAAACAATATTATTGCCACAATAGTTGATAGTATAATTAAATCCTCAAAATATTTATTTATTCTTTCAGGAAAAAAAGTATTTCCTTTGACTACTAAACGGTATATTGACTTCTTATTAACAAATTGTAAATATTTTAATATCAAGACAAATTATCCACTTACAAATGTTATATCCTTAGTCAGTTAGTAGTTATTGTGATTCGAATCCAATTCACTTGACCTGAATAAGTCTGTTGGTATTGATGATGATGAATAATAATTGTATGATTCAAACATAGATTACATAAACCAGATAGACTTGGACAGGATAGTATGTAAACTAATAGTTTTCGAAGATAATATGATTATCATTAATCATTTGAATGAGACTACTAAATTGTTTCAGTAGGATTTAATAGTTTAGATATTTGAATTGATATTTATTATTATGAAACTACATTTGACGATGCCAAAGATTGTCTCATATCGATCTTTGGACAGTAAAGTCCCATGTATTGTTTTTCCAGACAGTGTACCACTTGATCAAAAAAATCCGTAAGCCAACTATGCTGAAGAATTCGTCAGCGACCTCACAAAGTACTCCTCTAAAAATTCTTCAAATCAATAAAACTATAGCAAACCATATTTTAAGCACTAGATTTTATCCAAACTTTTAACTTGCAATGGACAAGAATTAAAATGAGAATCAAGATCTATCCATTTCATTTACTTTATCTAATGTTTTATGCTCTTGGGAAACATTATTCGTATCTCCACTTACATTTATCATGTCATATAACTTAGTAACTCATTAATTTACTGTCTTCGAATGTCGATTAGTCAGAAAATATAATCCATATCCCAAGTTATGTAGTCATTATCGCTTATCTGACTTTACATGGAACGAAATTTCAGTTGGAATTGTTTATGAGTTACACTGCTTTTCAGAGTATTAAATATCACACTTATGTAGGATTGAGTAGCTTCAGAGCAACGTTGTTGTTGTTGTAGATGATCTCTGTGCTGAATACAGAAATTATCACTCAAAAGATTATTATTAAGTAACTAATTATTAATTGTGTAGTGTTTTATGGCCTCAAACAGTTAAATCCGGTATTTATATATCCTTGACTAATTCTTGTCCTAGATATTTGGTCTTCTTACTTATATTGTTATACTAGTCCTATTCAAGACAACAAAGGTTATTCTCTTCAAAACTGGGTCTATATTTTAAATTAGACTAACGTTCCTTCCTAACACTTGGATTCTTTGAAACATACTTCATCATTCCGATAAGGGACTAGCATGACAAGCCGCGAAGAAAAACGAAAATCTAATACATTACTTACATTGCAGATAACAATCCATCCCTATCGAAAGTATAGTTGTGACTAGAAACACGAACAAAATATTTGAATAGTAATTGTTCATAGCCATCAGTCTTTTGTCTCTCATATCGTGCCAAGATTCGTTGAATCACGCTAAAGATATATTCATCTCCAAAGTGTTATTCAAATTACCGGCACACATATCTACCCACAAACTGGTGGAAAACTTACGAGGATATTCTCTTCCTAATTTGAGGTGTCGGGTTTACACTGACCTATCCTAAAAGTTAGTCAGTGTATCATCTGAATGCGACTGGTATTGGTATAAAATAATGGAGGGAAAAAGGATAGGATATCCCTTATGATATAATGTTAACGAACAATGATATCAAATTCTGGATGAAAAAAAAACTAGTTTTCTTGCTCTTAGTTCCCGTACTCCGTTACCTATTACACAGTAAATATACATGAAAGCCCAATAACAGATCACTGGATTATATTTAGAAGTAAACATCCAATTTTTCTACTTAAGCAACGACTCCTAATTATTTCATAACAGGAGTGTTCAAATTCCACTCATATTTTCTATGTACTGAGAAATTTCTGGCGCATAAAATTGATCATGGACAAGTAATGGATTCCACTTACTAGCACACATGAAATGGATTGATGATTTTAACAGTTCAGTACATCAATCGACAGAAAACTTGCTTTACTCAATGTCAACTAGAACCAGCTGTTCGCTAGAAAAACCCCAAATGTAAAGACCATACTGTCAACCAAAAGAACGCCAGCAGAAACCTGTAATCTAATACCTAGTTTAAAGGTGTTGTCTTAAAGGTTTACTCCTGAGATTTTTAAGGATGGTGGTCCAGTATTAGCAATGAGATTAACCGAAGTCTTAGGTAGAATTTGGGAACTGGACGTAATCCCATCTGACTGGTCTCAATCACTGATTGTGCCAGTCTATAAGAAAGGACAAAAGTCCTCTTGTGACAATCACAAAGGAATCAGTTTGACTAATATAGTGTCTAAAATATTAGCCTCAATAATACTTCGACGCCAAACTAAAGCTCGTGAAGAGCAGACTAGAGAAAACCAGGCTGGTTTTCGACCTGGACGTGGTTGTATAGATCAGATATTCACACTACGTCAGGTTCTAGAACACAGACACTCGTTCAGACGCCCCACAATGGTAGTATTTCTCGACCTTAAGGCGGCATTCGACTCTATTGATCGTGAGGTTCTATGGCAGTGTTTGTCACTGAAAGGAGTACCAAAGAAGTACATTAACCTTATAAAGGCTCTCTACTCGAACACAACTGGTAGAGTGAGAGCTTATGGCGAACTGTCATCAGAACTGATCACCTCAAGTGGTGTTCGTCAGGGCTGTCCACTCTCCCCATTCTTGTTCAACTTTGTCATTGACGTACTTTTAGAGATAACACTCTCCTCATCTAAATATACAGGGGTTGAACTTGTACCGGGAGGTTCACTTGTTGACTTAGAATATGCAGATGACATAGATTTATTTGGTGAAGACGCTGACAAAATGCAGTCTTCTGACCACTCTAAGCAACAATGCAAGCATGTTCGGGATGCGATTCTCTCCCTCGAAATGTAAAATTTTGCTTCAGGATTGGGTTATATCGACACCCGAACTAGTGATAGGGAGTGAAGTAGTTGAGTGTGTCGACCGCTTCACTTATCTTGGAAGTCTCATCAGCCCATGTGGTTTAGTGTGTGACGAAATCTCAGCACGGATACAGAAGGCTCGACTAGCCTTTGCCAACTTGCGCCATTTATGGCGTAGGCGAGATATCCGTCTATCAACCAAAGGACGTGTTTACTGCGCAGCAGTTCGTTCCGTCCTACTTTATGGCAGTGAAACATGGCCGGTAAGAGTAGAGGATATCCGTAGGTTACTAGTATTTGATCATAGGTGTCTTCGAAACATTGCTCGTATATCATGGGACCATCGAGTAACACAGTTGTTAGGAAACGGGTACTAGGTAAGGATGGCAAATCAATTGATGAAGTAGTGAAACTTCATCAGTTGAGATGGCTGGGACACGTGTTACGTATGCCCAACGACCGACTGCCTCGACGTGCTATGTTCAGTGGTATAGGAGTAGGTTGGAAGAAAGCTAGGGGCGGCCAAACCAAAACATGGCACAAGCCCATGAAGTCACTAACAAGTGGACTGAGCCATGTTGGTATGTGTAGACTACTTGGTTGGGGACCCTGAATGGCATGGTTCAAAATCGTTTGCAATGGCGCAGGTGCATCCACTCTTTGTGTTCTTCAAAATTCTAATCTCCTGAATCCTCCTTGTTTCTTTTTTTCTGTTTCCAAATTTATTTCACTGTATTATACTCTTTAGATAACACCTTCAAACCCTAATCTTCCCGATTACTGCTTATACTCTTATTACCTCTACCACTACGGGATTTGAATCGACAACTGCATCTCTGTGCTAATGTGGTGTGGCAACTCGAACTGATGTACGTACGTACGAAGTTCTACGTTGTTACTGACTGACTGACTTAAAGTCTGTCTAGAAAAGGACTGTTGAAACCTAGTACTATGTTTCCCAAAAAACGTTTTTTCTTACCAGCAGTCATCTCTTACAGCTTGATAAAATACAGACTAAAAGACAGCATAACTCGCTCAACTTACGAATAGCTCGGATTACTTTCTACTAGTTCACGTCTACAAACAGTGAACAAAATATCTAAATACTTCGCAAACAATTAAACTAAATGATAGCACGAAAAATACAATTACCATCATAGAAGTGTACGAGCAATGATCACTGAATTGGTTATTTCAAATATATTTGTAAAACAGGTATTTACATGATTATATTTCAGAAAATGTAAACTGCTCGAACTAAACCAACAGTCAGACCGAAAAGCAATTACAACAAACAATAAATGCAACCGTGTTTAAACACAAAACAGTTCTATTTCGAACAGTATTATACCAACAGAAGCACTAACTGGTTTTACAGTATGCATTTTATCAATCAAAAATAATTAAATTAGTCCCATAGAAACATGAGTTAGTAAGTCATCTGTAAAGACCGAGATAAGTTTGAATATCGGTCGATCATTTTGTATCAAGGAGTTTCGTATTGAAGTAATTATTTGCAGTAAAATGTACAAGGCCCATATCAACCAGCTCGTCCAGATGTTGGAAGAGGTGCGTGTGATGAATTGGAGAATAGGGACTTATTGGTTCCAGTACCACTAGATCGCCAGAAGTTACCACTAGATGAATTACTCCCTCTTTTTTGGCTATATCCAAAAGAACGTTGATTGTGATATCCTGTTCTTCTGGGATACTGCTGTGGAACAGTACCAAAAGTTGCTGAATTGAGGAGTCTTTCGTCCCGTCTGTTCATTCCTTGAGGATTTAGGCTGAATAAAGCACGATTTCGTTAGATTAGCAAGCAGTAGGCAAAAATCAACTAGAAATACCAAATAATAGACTAATAGGTACTAACAAACGGAAACCATCTAGTTTATCATAACCGGTATATGATTTTGTGACTATGATAAGCTTAACATTAAACATGTAAACAGGGCAAAAACGCTCTAGTGATAAACAAAGTATAAAAATTGAAAATTAAATATAACAAACTAACAAATTTAGAATACTCCACTCCAGAAAACCTAGCTTATAAGAAATTTTACTTTATGAATGAACATATACAATTAAGTGTTTGGAAGGAAAAATGATCACGTTTCGGATGTTAAGTGAACCAAACCTCAAAGCTTGTTATAGCCCAAAGCCGCCAATCAAAAGCAGCGAATTATCGACCGGACCAAGGACGCGTAAAACACGTGCAAGCAGCCTAGAGTCCTGATTGGTCCTGCTTTCCGCCTAGCCCAGCCAGTTCAGAATACCAGTCTCAGCCTGTAACATGAATCATATTTCAAACATACTGAGTTTATATACCAATCAAACAGACCACAACGTACCAATAAAATATAAAACATTTGTACAAGAATTAGCCAGATGTGGCTGTGAATGAGGGAGACAGTGACTAATAGACGGAATAATTCAAGAATGGAAAATTGTATAATAACAGTTTATAGGTTAAAATAAAGCTTGTGATAAGAGACATGAATATGAATAGTTCAGTTAATTAACAATTATACGGTAAAAATTTACGTATAGTATTGGTCCACAAATGGATCCCAAAAATTACCACTCATTGTTCTTATCGGGGCATAACAAAGCTCCAAACTTGACTGAATAAGATCAACAATATTCACAAATGTTTTAACCACTAGCATATCCTATTCACAGTACATGACATGACTCCCATAAGAGCTACATAGTGGATTCCAATACTAGGTGTAATAGATTATTAATATTACCTACTGAACTGAATAAGATTTTTGGGATAAAAAGTCACGTATGATCTCAACGCCACCTTCTTTTGACTGCCACGAAAATCAGTCCCACAAAATTAATTGTAAATATTTGGAGGCTTATATCAGTTTGAAATGTTACTAGTAACTTAATTCTGAGAGGTGGGATTTGCTTTGTCTACAGTTAACGACTTATAATCAAAATACTTATGCTAACAATGTAAAGTATGTACCTGAATTTAGTTGTAGTTTCCAGCGCTGTAAAACATCCTTATGTAATTCGACAACAAAGTACATATTTATGCACTTAACTTCAAGTATCCATGAAATACATTATCCAATTATACACACTAAACTAGAGCAACGTTTTAGTCGCCAACCCTTAAGTTGAAAATCAGATATCTCGACATCGATGGTCACTGTCTCTTGATTTCATCGATAAGACATGATACGCTCATTGAGAAGGTACTGTGAGAATTCAAGTCGAAGAGGTTACCCGAATGTACTTTAGTATCAACGTTGATGTTGTTTAAGACCCAATGGTATGCCAATGGCTGTAATATATATATAAGCGCAGAGAGTAAGGAAACCATAAAATCCTTAGATCGGTTGTGAATACAAACTAAATCTAATTATCAAATTGATGCTTGTGTAGTTTACGGCAGGTATTGAAATACTTTCTGACATGAAAAATTGACAAAACACGTTGTCTTAAAGGCATATTTTGAAAAAAAGAAATAATGTTATACGTCGCACACTCAGAATTTCAAATGAAATTATTACTTACCCATTTGCGCGGTCCATCATCTCGGAACTAATAGTATCGAAAAACGACTTGGATTTATCATAGCACGTGTTTTCATCCTCAGTTGTGCTGCTACCATCATTTTCCGCGTTGTCGACGGAAGTACCTGACGAACCTGTTTTCTATAAACAGAAATCACAGTATATCCAACACTTACAGTACTGATCGTTATTTTTTCCAACTCAGCTGCAAGTTCTGCGTTAGCTCTTTCATAGTCATATTCTACCGAAAAGTTGGTGTGCTCATTTACTGTAGATGCATTTGACCTGAATTTAGGCCAATCATGACCACCCGCTGACCGACCACCCCAACCACCGTAAGTATGCCCAGAACCCCTGGAGCCACGATGGTTTGCTGACCATTGTTGACTATATCCTCCGCGTCTATCTCTTGAGTAATCATTCCCCTGATAATAATTAGGTGTATTTTTGTGAGTGTCACCCTTTCTAACCCCTTGATCTCGGTTAACCCATGACTGTGGGTAGTCGTTATGCACACCAGATCCTAGGACGGCACGATGTCTAGAAGGACCTAGTACAGACTCTTGAACATCCCTAGAACTTGTACCTCCTCTTCCAGATGTGCTGAAAATCCCTGGGTCTATGTCGCTACGCATATCCCCAAATGGTCTTTGGCCACGTGTATCAGAAACCTGGGGGCTATCAGCATGAACGGTCCCTATAGGAGCCGGCCGACAACCAACTGCAGGCATCTGGTACGAAGAATTGTTTGGGTAGGTATTCTGATTTAGGCTATCAAGTGAGACAGATTGAGATGCTGGTATGGGAGACAATTCTGAGCATCCAGTAGAAACACGACTAGGATTAAGATCTGCAAGGAATAGAGTAACAAAGTGAAAACCCACCCAAGCGACCTCTACTTTCATTAACTGGGAGTCCAGGAGGGTGGGACAAAGCAGACTAATTACATAAATAAGTAGAGAAAGTACATACCCCAGGTGCTGCACTAACGATTGCAGAGTCTTCATTTAAAAATACAGAAGATTGCACGACACGTACATCGTCTAGATCCCGGCCACGAAACACCACCTGATTATACTCTTCATTCCGAGGAGCAACTGGTCGCTCACAAGGGCGGTCCTCAGTGCCAAAAGACCAAACTGTAATAATGAAACTAAGGAAGAACATTTAGTACCCTTTGAAAGAGTAATAACAGGTTCGTTGGGCGTGTCAAAATCTATAGAGTGAAGGTTTCCTTCATATCTTATCTTAGCCTTAGATATTATACTGACGCGACAGCCTATAATCGACAAGTCCGACGCATTCATCACAAATGGAGGTCAAGACTGACTAGGGCGCTAGAAGAATGTAGTGATACAAACAAAACCCCTGAAAAATGTAAATTACAGCATACACAGAGTTGAACAAAACATTTCCTTTATATAATGATTATGCCCTATTCTTGTGATTATTTTGTACAAATACATGTACCAATTCTTCAAGAATCCAGTTAAAACTGACCAGTGTAGGGGCACTTGAGTAAAGGTCAAACCACACTTATTTCAAAGTATATACAGTTTTCTACTGAGTTAATACTGATACATTTTCATCCTTTCTCACAAAACGTTGAACTGCCTGAAGAATTTTGCCACATTTTCACATACTTTTGAGCCAACTTTCTGTATTCGGACCTTGGATGCTCTTTTACTAAGTGCTCTTATGAACAATAGTTTGTGAGTGGAGAATGTCAGATATAGCAGTCTGTATAGGGAACCGTCGCCGAATCTTCTTTAAATCTTTGATCATTGACACGGTGAAGTTTCAGTGCTTTCAGTCATCGAATCGGGATTAGTTTCTTAGTTCAAGTGCCTCATGAATATCCTCTGGACTAACTTAAAAAAAGAAACGTATTTCTTGGAGTAAAAGTACGTTAAAACTAAAGCTTTCGGGAAATATGGATCTTCCTCTTACTACAAACAGTTTCAGATGATATGGAAATAAGGTTATCATATTGAAGTCACTCGGTAAATCCAGGCTATGCCTACGGTTATTTCAAGTGAGTAGCACTTACCATTCATTATTCTTTAATGGAAGCACGTTGCTAGCTACCTTGTCACAGACTACGTACAAGAACCAGTAAATCTTGACGATATCCATATATTGCCATATCATTGGCTAAATAAATACAAAACAAAATGCATGCTTGGAAATCACTAATAAAGAATGAGCAGAAAACTGGTCTAAGGATGAAGCCCTGTGCAACTACATTAGTCCTGACATACTGGTCAAAAAGAATGGAACGTGATCGACCTGTATGATGTTTCGACATCAGAAGTATTTATCTTTGCATAAATATCATTTTCCATCCAGATTGGCGTCTCGGATCACCTTTTGAAGGACTTACCGGACACTAATGAATTATTTGAGCATATGATATCATGAGTATGATAATAGTGTTGTCGCAATTTTGAAGCCTAGTATTCCCAACATGTATGCTACGCTTAAAATTTGGGAGTCGGAGAGACGTCAACAAACCCTCCTCCAGTACCAAGCATCATTATTCGTAACTGTTGACCAAAAATCAGTGTCCTTATTCTCAAATCCTAACACTGACGATTACCAGTTGAAATCTCATTTGAAAAACGCGATGAGGGCCTGGCGTTATCATTCATGCAAGTCAGGGTCAAACGATAGTGGGAAGACAAGCATTGTTTCCGTTATTTCTGTGAACGGTGGCGGATTGTTACATTTGATTACAGCTTTCTTACAGTTGCTGGTATTTCAACTGGCCTAAATATACTTGCTTATGCTGCCCTTATATTGTTGATGTTGCTCTATGTGAACTAGGTTAAAATCCACCCAGATTTTCATGCTAGAGTGTTGGGTAGCTGACTTCGCTGTAGACCTCCTAGAGACTATCATTCCCTATAATGTTTGTTACGTGTGTGCTTTCAACTTGCGAGTGATTGCCTGATAATTTGTGTGGTGGAATAGTGATTTCAGTCTAAAGAATAGTCTTCGTTGTCCAATGACTTACAATTAGTTGGACAAAACAAGGGAACTCATCGAAATATTGTAAACTGTATCGATCTGCATAACTTGACCAAAGATGACTTGGTTACATCTCATTTAGATAGCTTTTTAGCTCGCGTCTTATCCTTGATATTATTTTGCTCTTGACACCGTACGTTGTTGTTAGACTACTAGAAAACAGGTATGTCTTCTGATCATGTTACAGCCGTCCAGGCTGAAGAGTCACTGAGACATGTTCTTTTTTAGGTCGAAATCTGCACGAAATCTATGAGAGCTACAGTAATGAGGAGCGGATAGGTGATATATATTCATTTTGGATTCCTAAGGAAAACGTATATGTACATTAATTTTCGATCCGAATTTGCAATAAGGTGATCTGTTTTTGACGAAATTCAGCGTTAGAAATACCACTTAGGAACCAAGTTAAACATCTGAGCATACAAAATTACAGTAGTGGTTCATGTTTAGGATTTCTAAATGAAGCTTAGTTGTTTTGAGGAAGCCTTCAAACTAGTTTATATCCAACTGCTGCCATAATATATTAGTGCAATTCCCAGACTGGTAGTGACTAGTAACTACTCTCCCTCCCACAACAGCCATAATTTAGCCGTGACTGAACAGCGATACACTGAATGACAGGGGCTTGGACCTAAACGTTCTGAAGTATTGTACACGTCCTTTAACAATTTATGGTTTTAGAATTTGTTATTGACACTAACATTAATTGTTCTGTCATGTTGGATATTGTATTTCGTCGGGTATCACGTTGGGCTCACCAGTTTCGTGCCTGTAGGTAACCTGTGCAATTATGGTCTACTATGATATTAGTACTGCTGTGCTAGGGTTTGAAGCTATCAAGAGTTCTCTTAATCTGCGAACAAGAAACAAGATTCGGTGACCAAAGACCAGTAAGCTAGCTATTGATGAGTCCCAGCTCCACTAGCTAGACGGAGACGTTCAAGCTTGGAATATGAATGTATATTCTGCAAACAGCCAGAAATGAGTGATAACAACAAACACAATTCAAAACGTATATATACAGCACAAAACCGTCCCTGGGGAGAGTTACCAAATAGCATACTAAAAGACGCAACGGACCAATAGCATTTAAGATATTTCTCCGTGGGAAATACAACATCAAGGTGACAAGAACGCTTTTGGCGCGACAACAAAGAAACTCAAATTTTCTAAATAAAATTACGAAATTGGGTTCTTTCCCAAGTGAGTTCTGGGGATGTTCCCAATATGCTCTGATAGTAGTGTTGGATCCAAACCACGTTTGGACTGCTGGACAGCTGCCTGGATAAGTTGGATACGCGCCCTCGCGCGTTTGAAACCAAAACAAGGTAATTGGGTAAGATAGCGGTTCTATAATTTGTCATAAATTTAAGTGTACATTATTACCTAAACAAATATAACCACTCAGCTATCCAACCAATAATTGTTTAATTGATCAAATCTAAACTATAATAAATAAGAACGTTGATAAAGGATGCAAGAAGATTACCAATCACCACAAATAAATGTTATTCTATCCTGTCTGGATAGATCACGTACAGATTCGTTCAAAAGGTAATAATTGGTCGCTCTATAACACAGAGTGTTTTCAATTCTGGAAGAGTGCTTCAATTCACAACAAAAATGCACAATCCCAGTCAACGCAGGTCAAGCAATCAAAAGCAGGAACAAACCAAAATGACTGCCGCCAAGACTTAGTATAAAGTAAAACAACATAAGTGCAGTTCGGGAAGAAACATGGGGAATTAGTGAAGGTGTGGTAAAAACGAAACTATAATAAAATACAAATATTAACAATTCAAATGTAGTCAAAAAGTTAACAATGTACAACTAAAAGAACCAATAGGAACAAAGTGTAAGTATATACATGGAGGGATTTTCACAGACAGACAAAGCACTCAAAAATGGATCTTACACCGGCCCCCAAAATCCCTCCATATCACACAAGCTACCTTGATGCCTATGGTCATGGTTCATTATGTAGCATATGACACTATAGGAACGAGTAGGACTTACAACAGTACGCCTACTCGACCTACCTACATTGATAATACGATGAACTAATTCGAGCCTTCATGGAGGCATAATCTACGTATATCTCTCCTGACTAATCCACCGTTCGTACGAACAACCACTGTTCTAACTCTTCCGTCGTCATCTATTTCACAATTTTCAACTACTCCTAAGGGCCATTTTCCACGCGTCGATATGTCCGAAGCCACGATCACTACATCCCTTTTCTGAAAATTGCGGTGTTCAACTAACCACTTCTGACGTTTTTGTAGGGACGGTAAATACTCTCTCAACCACCTTTTCCAAAACACATTAGCAAGATGATTAACCTGCTTCCAACGTTTGTCATATTTATCTCTGATGCTACCTTCTTCGACCATTCCATCACATTCTCTCAATAATAACAAACTATTTGGCGATAAGGCTAGTTTATCGTTAGCATCTTGAACGACCGGAGTTAAGGGTCGATCGTTCAATATCCTTTCAATCTCAATCAAATAAGTGCTTAAAGTCTCATCGGTTAGAGTCTGCTCTCTAGTTATCAACAATAACAGTCGGCGTATGGACCTAATCATCCTTTCCTAAACTCCACCCCTGTGGCTGGATGAGGGCGGGTTAAAATGCCACTGATTTTGTTTAGTTGACAGTTCTTTGTCTATTTTCTGTTGATTCAACTGTTGCACAAATCTCCTTAATTCAGAGACCGCACCCACGAAATTTGACCCATTGTCACTGTAAATTTCGGCAGGTTTCCCTCTTCTTCCAATAAAACGTAACAAGGCCATTATAAATGAATCAGTATTCAAACTATGTGTCATTTCAATATGTACTGCTTGGGTTTGCAAGCAAGTAAACACACATCCATATCTTTTTTCTAATGATCTTCCTCTTTTGACAAAAAGAGGTCCAAAGTAGTCTACTCCCACGGCTGAGAAGCTATACCATCCTTGTTGCACTCTACAAGCTGGAAGTGGTGCCATCAATTGTTGCCCTGTAACCATCGTATACCGCCAACATGTCACACACTTTCCTATCACTCTCTTAACTGTGCTGGTTCCTTTTATTATCCAATACCTTTTTCGAATCGTGGCTAGTACTTGTGACGTTCCTGTGTGCCCTTGTTCCTTATGATAATGTCTAATTATCATTTCTGTCACTAAGTGTCGACTGGGCAATATTATTGGATGTTTAAAGGCATTTGAGAAATCTGAGTAGGTTAGTCGACCTCCAACGCAGAGTAACCCATCAAGCATTATCGGTGATAAGCCCTTCAGATCATTGTGACTAACTACCTTACCATTGTTTTTAAATCCACTAAGTA